AAGGAGCGTATCTATAAGTGCAGAGGAGTTCGCTTTGATATTAATGAAAATGTTATCCAAACAGTTACCAATTCTAGTTGGAGACGAAATTTTCGGATACAGATTGTATGAGGCCATTAAATCGCACAATTCCACAGCACACCTATCAATACCAATAAAATTAACGTTAAAGTCACCAGCAACATATATATGGGTACTTCATGCATATCCGGAGGGCATTGTCTAAGGTTTGAAGAAAAATTTTAAAGTCGCCTTTTGGGGATCTGTATACACACAATATCACAATTTCAAAGTGAGACAAGTACACACATGATATTTCACAGTGGATCTCAATAGATAGTGCAGTAATCTTGGAGATAGTCCTAAAATTATAATTTCGTTGTACATAAATTAACGTTCCTCCGTGAATGTGATTCACTCTAGAAAAACTATTCGCTAATATGTAATTGTCAATACGCGTATTATCAACCTCAAAGCTTTTCAGCCAATGCTCGCAGAGACAAATCACATCATAGTTATGATTTAATAGATGTACTTCAAATTGAGTTACTTTGTTCCGCAAACTTTGAATATTTAGCAAAAAGATATCTAAGTTAATAAAATCACGCTTTTGGGAAGAAGTATTCTTATTTCTAAGATGTGATTCCTCTGCAAATGGACCTATAAAAAATTATTCGTTCCAGGATAAATCAAATTGTCTACATTAATAAAAGATTTGCGTATTTCTATTGTTTCTAAACAGCAGTTATCAGTAAATTTAGTGATCAATCCTAGAATATGTTTTACCAGCTCTTTAAGAAGTTTCGTTTTCCCTGTTGGGGTCATATGTAAACCACTTCTATAAAAGTCTCGATCACACCCAGTTTGTGTCAATATACTTAAAATTACATTCCTTATCACTAATTAGTTTATTATACAGTTTTAGATTATTATGGAAAATTATATTATTTACACGACTACTAGTATAATTCCTCACGAAGGGTGTGGACATCACTACTAAATTCAATTTGTTTGTCAAACTACGCAAAGAACTAACTATTCTCATCACATCCAGTTTCGCTCCATTGAGGGCATTATTGGAACCACCGATCACGACAACAAAGTCAGACGAATTAAAGTTATGTGTCAGCCTCTTTACATCAGAGACCACGTCCTCCAATAACCCATTTGGTTTAAAAATATTTATTACCTCTATTGATGAATTATTTAATAATACTTTCAGCATTAGTCCCATATCACGAGCTTGGCTGTCACCAAGTATTAAAACTCTGTGTTTAACTATGACTGTTCCTTTAGTTGCGTAGGCGGTTGATGGGGATTCCCGTGACGATTTATTGCAATGTTTCTTCTCACCTTGGTTAACATACTTAATTGTGACATTGACATCCCTCTCTTTTCCCAAATTCTGCGGCAATACTTTAACCTTATCGTCGACCTTAACGATCTTGTCCAAGTAAGTTAGTGTATCCGGCACCTTCTTCATAAATTGGGTTGCTACAGATATTTCATCCATGATTGATTTATCATTACGCTCACTGTCTGAACTTTTTTTACCACTACAACCGTATTGCTTGCAGTTGGTGTAGGTGTATTAGATGCTGAACCTTCTACATTAGTGTCCCTATTTAACTTATGGTTTTTATGAGATGGAGTTCATTTCTTATTTTTTTTAACAATTTCTGATGTTTGAGTACACGAATTTCTCAATGTATTAACATTGATCGTTTGAGTAAAAGAATCCACACATGTGGCAATATTACATTTTTGAGCTCCAAAATCCTCAACTAACGTCTGCGTAGCCATATTCTCAACTACTAAGTCAGTACATGTAAATTTGTTGGAGACGGTAGCACACTTATTGCACGACTCTTTCAAATCAGATAGATCTTTTAATAAATTTTTATTTTGAATCTTCAAATCGTAAATGTAAGCAGTAAGTTTCGCGTTCTCCTCGTTTAAAACGCCTTCCATCGAGGCACTTTCATTTAGATTGTCTTTAATTTGAGTGCGTAGTTGGTCATTTTGTTTATGGAGAGAAGCTAATTCTAATCTTAATGTATATACGTCATTTTTTAGTACAACAATGCACCCATTAGCTTCCTGCAGTTTCTTCTCTAGCTCCGACTGATCGAGAATCGGAAGCTTACATTGAGATGTATTGGTGGAATACGACTGTTTATTACTAATAAATGATAATCTTTCATCCATAATGCAGGTTTAAATACGATAACGCGAAACAAGGTCAAAAACTATTTACTCTATAGACATGTACATTACCGTAAGAAACGCTGGTACCAATATCAGTGCTCCTGATCATTAAACCGCCATTTAGCACTGTATGAATGATATTGCCAGAGCCCCAAACACTTTAGCACTCATATACAAATAATTGTTTATATGAAGTTTGCTCATTTACTCGTAGAAACGAATTCCGTATTTATATCTACCCGCGCACGTAACCCATGTCTACTTCATTTTCATTTGCTACCGATGCCCAATCAATTAAATTAACGTCTTCGTTAAAGGAGTCTATATTTATACCGCCATAATTTCTATAATACCTTCTCCTATTGTTTTGTAAATGTAACAAAATTTTCAATTTCGCTGCTATCATCATGTGGTCTGTAATAGTACCTAAATCATTTGTATTAGCATCACTCACTTTGTCTTTTAATGAATCACTAACGCAGAGTATATCTATCAGAGTTGCACTATCTTCAGTAATCCTTGTGGGCTCATTTATTATTTGACACAAATTAAAGTTATCAAAAAGTTCACCTAATTTATCACGGTCCAACGATTCAACTAGAAGATTAATATTTAAATCCCCCATTAAAATTATGCAGTCTACCCTGAGGTAGATGTCCTCTATAACATCACTTAGTTCACTTAAACAGTTAGCAACATTTACTGACGGTGGTCTATAACATACACCCACTCCAACAGATAACTCTCCCAAAATAAGCTTAATCCAGAGTTGTTCAAGTCATAGTCAACAGTTTTGTATAACAGTGTAGTTCTGAAACCTTTTCGAATGTAAAAACCTAAACCTCCTCCTCGTGTTGGTCTATCGGCTCTTATAAATTCATAATTAGGTATTGCTATATTTTCATTCGGATGTTCGCTGTGTAACCACGTCTCAGTGATCGGATAACGAGTACCCGTATCGTTATTATTTTAGCACAAAGAACATGGCTTTATGAGAGGCAGATCGACTAATACAGCTTTATGTCAATATATTGCAGAAGCGGTTTCTGCAGTTGACAAGCGTCTTTTAACTGTGGGTTTATTTATTGACTTTTCGGCTGCTTTTGATACTGTTGACCACAAGAAATTAATTAGCAAAATGTTTCAATGCGGCATTCGAGGTACTACTCTCAATTTGTTTGAATCCTATCTTAGAGAGAGATAGCACGCAATTCGTTGAATTACCTCAGGGTCAGCGTGGTTTGTCTAAGCCCATTTTAACAGGAGTTCCTCAAGGCTCAATTCTCGGTCCGACGCTATTTATTCTTTACAGCAATGACCTGGTTTCGTATCTGAAAGAGGGCGATGATGGCGATTCTACATTTATTACATTTCTTTTTCTTTTTTTTCTTATTACATTAAATCATTGCGCGTTAACTATTATGTATTGTCCTGTAATTGGAAGGTCTGTTCTGTTGGGCAATAAATCTCTATTATTATTATTATTATTATTATCATATGCTGATGACACCAATATATTAATTAAATCACGTTGTATAATGTCTTTGAAATTGCAAATAAAGCTCACGCTAGATAAATTAAGCACATGGTGCAGCAACAATAATATCATACTTAACGCTGCCAAAACTACTGTGATTCCGTTTGGCTTAAAAAATTTAAATGAATTCACGTGCTGTAAGACAACCAAAATGCTTGGGCTTACTGTAAGTTCTGACTTGGGTTGGTTTGCTCACATTGACACTGTCTGCAAGTCACTTAGAAACTGTTGCTATTCTTTAAGCGTTCTTAAGAAGCTATGCAACAAATCAACGTTACTGACTTTGTACCATGCCAACTTTCACTCTCATATTCGGTACAATATATGTACTTGGGGTGGCAGTACTCACGTTCAGCGCATACTTGTTCTGCAAAAACGCGCTATTAGAATTATATGCTCTTTACCTTTCAATACGTCGTGCAGACCGATTTTCAAAGAATTAAGGATATTGACGGTAATAGACACCTACATTCTGGAGATATGTTGCTTAGGGTTTAGAAAGAAATCGTTTTTTTTAAATCCTGAACATGTTTACAACACTCGACAGAAGATGTACTTAAACCCTGGCAAACACAGATCATCATTGTTTCAAAAAAATTTAACGTTTCGAACGTGTCAAATTTTTAATGCACTACCGCCAAATATTAAGGCCATTAAAACCTACAAAAAATTTAGATTTGCATTAAAACAATTTCTAGTAGAAAAAGCGTACTATCACCTAAATGAATACTTAAACATTTGAAACCTTTTAAAATATTTATTTATGTTCGTCACAATTTTAGAATGTATCTTAATGTGTTTTTTAAATGTGTCGGTTTGTTTTAATATGTTATACATTTTGTAATTTTCGTATTTGTGCTAAGTATATTGTTTGTATGTATTAGGGACATGGTGTTGCCACCTACTATAAGGTAAAGCAACAACGAATAACTAAATGAAATGAAATGAAATAAAGTGGTCATAATACCACCATAGATAAATGGTTTATAAATTAAAGACAAAGTTAATTCGCACAGAAGGGTAGATGAGTATTCTTTCGATTGATTTGGGGCCTTACTTTAGTTAGTGACGAAATGTAGTGACTAGAACTTAAATGCGACAAAGTCATTACGCAACGGAATACGAATACGAAACCTAAAAACTCATAACTAAGGCGTTAGTGGCTAGAAGGTACCTTATAAAGTGGTGCTAAATTTATAAATTCCCATTTTACTTTTGAGTGTGATAGAAATACTAAACGCTGTCTTTGTTTCAGAACGTACGAGATAAGTGATGTGGTCATCTTCGTCGTACGCTACGTGTGCTGCCTGGCCATGATCACGTTGACCTTAACGGTGCCGCGTCTCAACAGGGCCGCGGATTCTCCTCCTCCCAGGGTGCGCATCAGCAAACAACAGGTATCAAAGTTTCTCGAAGGATCGAACTGAACTCGTTGCGCTTTAGAAATCGCCGTGGGTTTATGTCGCCAAGAAGTTTGGGAAGATTGCCCCGCATTTTTGGCCGAGAAGGAATCTGCGGCTGCAAACGCAGGCGGTACTGTGCGTCGTTTTGCTGGCGTTGGGGAGGCTGGTCAACATCTACGTGCCGATCTTCAATAAACGAGTCGGTTAGTGTGAGTCGGTCCGATGTCAACTGCTGACACTTTGGTTGCAGTCGACAGTTTGCAGGCGGGCCGTCCGGAATTTCGCGTGGATCTTATCGTGGTTTACGTGGTGTTGAAATCGCTTCAAGGTGGCGGAACGGACGGCATGGGAATTTTGAATAATATTCGATCGATGTGTTGGTTACGAGTCCAACAGTACACCACGCGAAATATCAGGGTGGGTCGAGTCGGTACGCTCTCCATCTTATACACTGTTTCAGATCGCACTACTCGCCCACTTACACGATCTATCCCTGCGTTGGCATTTCGGTCGGAAAACCGGCGAGGTGCTGAGATTAATGGATCGCGGCACGGAGAGCATCAACAATTTGATGAATTACTTGGTCTTCGTCATCCTCCCAACCATCGTCGATATAGTGATCGCCATCTTCTTCTTTGCGATCACGTTCAATATTCTGTTCGGATTGATAATACTGTTCACGATGCTCATTTATTTCGGTACGTTTTCGAAAGGGTGCCACCTGTACTTTGCGTTTTTTAGTTGCCACCGTCGCCATCACCGAGCTCCGCACCAAATACAAGAGACGAATGAATCTTGCTGACAATGCGACGCGAGCTCAAAGTGTCGACTCCTTGTTGAACTTTGAAACGGTGAAATACTACGGAAATGAGGATTACGAAGTGGAGGCTTTTCGGGAGACCATCACCAAATTTCAGGTGTGAAACTCCTCGGGTCAGTTTGCAGATTGAGTTCTCTATTCTTCAGGGGGAAGAGTGGAAGGTTAATGTTACACTGAACGGCTTAAAGACGTTGCAAAACGTCATCGTAAACGTCGGTCTGTTAGTGGGCAGTTTACTATGCGCGTACCTCGTCGCCGTTAAGTACCAGTTAACTGCAGGAGATTACGTTTTATTCTCGACTTACGTCCTCCAGCTCTGCGTGCCTCTAAATTCGTTTGGAAAATATTACATGTAAGGGCTGGTTTGGTGTACGATCTTGGTTACCCTCGCCTTTTGTAGAACGATACAGAATGCTATAGTCGACTTGGAGAACATGCTCGACCTCCTGCACGAGGAAGTCGAAATTGTCAACAAGAAAGGTGCGACCGAGCTTAACGTGGTGAGCGGAGACATCGAATTTAAGAACGTGTACTTTGGATACGATCCCCACCGTGAAGTGTTGAAGAATATTTCCTTTAGCGTTCGCCCCACTAAAACCACCGCGTTGGTGAGTAGCCCCAAATTCGCGCGCGATCGCAAAGACTTTTTCCAGGTTGGCCCGTCGGGCAGTGGAAAGAGCACCATCATCAGGCTACTGTTTCGTTTCTACGACGTTACGCGCGGCTCAATTTTGATCGACGGGCAAAACGTCAGTGACGTAACTACGAGATCTTTGCGTAGAGCCATAGGCGTCGTACCCCAAGACACCGTTCTCTTCAACAGCACGATAAAGTACAACATCCTGTACGGCAGGCGGGGCGCGACGGAACGCGAGATAATGGACGCGGCCCTTCAGGCGGATATCCATCGCATCATCCTCAAACTGCCAAAGGGGTACCAGACGAAAGTCGGCGAACGCGGTTTGAGGCTGAGCGGCGGCGAAAAGCAACGCGTCGCGATCGCCAGAACGCTGCTGAAGGCGCCGCAGATCGTCGTCCTGGACGAGGCGACGAGCGCCTTAGACACCCAGTCGGAGAGGAATATTCAGAACGCCTTAAAGCGGGTTTGCCACAACCGAACTACGGTGATTGTCGCGCATCGACTGTCCACAATCGTCCACGCCGATGAGATACTCGTGCTGAAAAATGGGGAGATTATCGAACGGGGAACGTAAGTTCGGTTAAACAAGACTACCAGTGATAGTGTTACGTTTTTTAGTCACGAGTCCCTAATGCAACAGGACGGTGTGTACAACATGATGTGGCAGCAACAGCTACAAACGGACGAGGTCGGGCCGGATGAAAAGGAAGACTAACCACTTCTTACTAACACGTTCCTACAGTTAAGGAAATAAAATTGAGCATATTGTTGAGTTGAATAATCTGGTCCCTACTTCAATTACAAACGTAGGAGAAGAGACAACTTTGTATCTTCTCTCGAGAATTACTTTCAAGAGTACAGAAAGCTCTCGAAAGAACCGTTTTCAGTTTTTCAAGCGCTTGCCATACTCTTGTAGATACTTTCCAGGGCAATCTAACTTTTGGATCCTATTTTTCAAGCTTTTTTAACATCTTTTTAGAAATCAAACTTTCTAGGTCCATCTAGAGCTTCTCCTGATTCGTCTATCTGCTGAAAATCTTTAGATTCTATCGACTACTCCGGTTCCTTCGACTTTTTCGGACCTAATGTAGCGTGTGGTAGAGGTGGAAAGGGAAAAAAGAGGGATAAACGCCTGTAGCAAACGGAAAAAGGGTAAATGAGATGGAAGCATAAAGGAGACACAAGGCAAAATGTGAAGGGGAATTAGCAACATGGTGAGGAGATGGAGGATTTGAAATGTAAATAAATTAACACCAGCAAGGTCTTCACTAAATAATTTCGATGTAGGGCACTGGCACAAATATCACGCTATGTCTTCTAAACTCGAAACTCAAAATAGCGGTTCCATGTAAAAATGCGATGTCATCCAGATTCTTTGTATTTATCAAAAGTGCAAAAGATGTAGGTCGAAATATTCTAGAACTAGAAAAAAAAAGAAGAAAGATGGACAGAAGACAAAGCCCTAAAAAATATACAGCGTTAAAGCAATGCTGCGCTATACATTTGTACATACAAATATATATCCGCAAAAGCGTATTCGATGGAGCATTACACCACCACACCAGAAAGAGAGAAAAACTCTTCTCAGGTAGACATAAGTCAAGTAAAGTAATGGCGTATTAAAATTGTAGAAGTAATCACCACGAGCGCAAAATATCTAATGGAAAAGTAACGCGCACGTGCAAAATTAAGGAAGGTCAATACACAGAAAGGTACATTCGGGTGACCTCCAGCGGAAAAGAAAAACTAAGGAAGGAAAACGTTAACAACAAAACCAACTACAACGAACTATTAAATGAATGTAAATTTAAAACTGAACCCGTCTTCTTTACTTTTTTTGCACTCTCTTCATGCCTCTTCACACACATTACGTACCCTGTATGATCCCTTAACCCTGCCTCACGTTTCCGATACGCTTACCCACCTATCCTAGTCCTCTGCACATCTTACTCCGCTTTCTTCAGGTTTCTTTCATGTATTCTTCACGCTTCGTTCTCCAATTATGCCTCATTTTGCACCTCCTCCTCATTCTTTTTCACCATCGCCTCTGGACTGACAACTTACTACAGTTTACTGTTAAAAAATAAAGGTTGCACATAATCCTTTTTGAGTTGGAACATCTCTTTCCCCCATTGCAGTTTCGGCTGCTCAGTAGTTTCCTAGGTACTGTTTTGTAGGACATTCACGAAAGAAAGCTCCGCTCCTCCTCCAAACAATTGTCTTCGAACGGTAAAAATCCCTTACCGTTCTCCATACTTAATATACTATAAAACCCTTCAGATTTTTGAGATTCTACGAACTTCCTCCATTTCTTTGGCTTTTTCGGATTTGCTATATGCGTGAATAAAGCGTGGTAGGGGATTGAACACATGAAGAGACGCATAGGAATTGATGGGAGACATATGATATAGTTGAGGGGAGGTGGCGGTGGATCGGGATGTGAAGGAGGCGCGAAGAGCCTGAGAGTTAGGGACAGGGAAAGCAGGGAGGGAAAGGGGAGAAGTAAAGAGCGAGGAAGCCTTGAGTGAAAGGTGTGAAGCTGGTGTCACGAAGACGAAGGTCCAAGAAGAAAAAGTGTTTTCCCGAGAAATGTAGTGTAGTCGATTTTTGGTAAAAAAAGGAAGATTATACACTGCCTTTTTTTGAGGCTGTAAAAAAAATTGTCTCAGATCGACCCGGAATAAAATTTTTCTTATCGAATGTGGCCTGTAGAAGCCACAATTTCAAACATTTCCGAGATTGGGCTACTAGTTCAAAAGTTACAGCCCTTTGAATATTCTTTCGAAATTTGTTTAGTCTATAACTTTTGATTGAGAAGTCTAATCGAAAAAGTACGAATTGTTTTGAATTCTACGCACCAAAATTAATAAGAAAAAGTGTTTTCCCGATAAATTTTGGTGTAGTCGATTTTTGGTAAAAAAGGAAGGTTATACACTGCCTTTTTTTGAGGCTGTAAAAAAAATTGTCTCAGATCGACCCGGAATAAAATTTTTCTTATCGAATGTGGCCTGTAGAAGCCACAATTTCAAACAGTTCCACGATTGGGCTACTAGTTCAAAAGTTACAGCCCTTTGAAAAGTACGAATTGTTTTGGATTCTACTAAACAGTAAGACCCTCTTAAGGACTTTAAAGTATTTAGAAGACTGAGTGCGTTTGATACTGTTCAAGCTTGTAAAAAAAAACTTTAAGAAGCTTTTAGAGAACCTTCTTAACCCTTAAGAACTCACAAAGGCTAATTACACGAGCAGCTTTTAAAGAGAAGAGATAATCTCAAGAATTCTAACTACTTTAGGAAGTTTTTTAAAGATTCATTGAGATTGTAAGTTGTTAATAACTGTTTGCGAGTTTTAAAAGTTCTGAAAGACTTTTAGATGTCTATGAAAGCTATTTAAAGCTCCCCAAGGAAGTTTCTTGAACACTTTAAAAGACTCTAAAAGTGAATTCAAAGTTCTCAACGCTCTTTGGATTTCCTTGAAGGCGTTTGGTGGCTTTACCCACAACCAACGACCATGCACACATTCTTGGATGACCGAATTTCGAATTTAATGCATTTCTTTTTAGTTTCTTGAGTGTTTTGTATACAATGTGCGGTTCGTACCCCCAAAATTCTCCTGAAGTGCTTATCAATTTCCTTTTAAGTTTCTCTTATTTGCCATTTCCCACCACAGCTTCCCCAAGTTCATCACGCCATGGATACCTCCGATTTCTTCCCGTATTTAAAATCTTGCAATCAGATTTTATCTCCCGGTGTTCACATCCACCCTTTAAACCCCTAGACCCGCCTCTGGTAATCAAAGTCGAAGAAGTAGACGTTTTGTAGATCTGGTAGTTCCATTGACTCTTGACAACTCGCACGTTGTAGTTCAAATGTCCTTGCTTGTTTGTTTATAACGTGACCAGGAAATTGATTGCCAAAAAAGTAAAAATAATTGTTTATTTATATTGACGAAAAACATTGCGCATTATTAGGATTGTTGTAATACCAAAGACGCCCCCAGTGCTCCCCCGATACCGGTTGAATTCAGTGAGGTTATTGCATGACTCATGAATTTCTGGATCACTTAATTCATTTTAAATTCGCAAACTGATAACAATTAATTTTAAGTACGTACTCGACGATATCAGCTATTATTTAATGCACATGTGTTCGACGTATACGCGAAGAGAATGTTATACTGTCCGCCTAACGTCTCCTTGTCCGAAGTTTGGATTGACCATGGCACGTCGAAGTGCTTCATGGATACGGTTTCCTCGTCGATCATCGGCGGATTCTTGCTGCTGGCGGGAACTATTCAGCTAATGATCTACAGGAAGTACGGCACGGAGGTGCCGCAGAGCGAGCTGTCGAAATCGTCGCTTTACCGCGTGCAGATCTTCTTCACGCTTCTAATACCGGTGATCGACGTGACGAAGTTCGTTTTGCAGGCGACCATTTTGGGAGACAAGCAGATCTACGGTTACATGGTAAGTGTGCCATTTGTTCCAAACTTGATTTTCGCCTCGGAAATTACACAAATGTGATTCACTACATATAAGTCTAATTTAGAGGGGGATGGGGAAATTGCAAATTTTCAAGGGCACTTTTGATTAATTTCAAAGTGCTACCACCATAAGTAGAAAGCTTAAAGTGGCACCAGCTCCCACTGAGTCTAATTTTTTCTCAAGATTCAGGTCTTAAGTCTCAGGTCTTTTAAATTTTCTCTCCCTCCGTCAAGCCTGGTAGGGCTCATAAGTTATTCCAAACCTCTCAATGTCCAGTCTTAGGTTTGAAGTCTCAGATCTAAGGCCCCTCAAGTTTTTTAAGCCGCTCAAGACTTAAAATTTATCTTGAGAGAAATTTGAGATACTTGAACCTCTTAAGTCTTTAATTTCTCCAAAGTCTCCACAGTCCCAAGCCTCAGCCCCTTCTCTCTCAAACGTCTCAATTCGCCCAAGTTTCCCAGTCTCAATTAGCAAAGTGTTACATTTCCAGTGACTTTCCCAAGGTCCCAAGTTTTAGGCCGCCGAACCTGTGGAAACGGAAGGGTGGGGGGTGGATCTCCAGTCTTCCAAGATTTTTTAAGGAATAACAAAATTTAATGTCTCGATTTCAGATACTCTCCCTGGTGATGACGCTGTTCGCTTACCCGTACTCGCTGCTCGTGCTGAAGAAGGAGAGGAACTTCCTGCTACCGTCGACGCCGCCTCGCGGTCACGGCCTCGTGCTGCTCCTCTTCTGGTCGTGCACCTTCATATCGGAGAACCTCGCCTTCGTCAACTTGGGCCAGAACGAGTGGTGGTTCAAGCTGAAAGAGTAAGGAGGTTTGCGAAAGACACAAATCTTAACAACCGCTTGTAGTACGAACGACCGAATCGAGATGGCGCTCTTCGTTCTTCGTTACATATCTTGCCTTGTGATTTTCGTGCTGGGATTGAAGGCGCCTGCCATCAAGCCGCCGAGTTATTTGGGAGTGGACCGTTCGAATATGAACATTCCGCTCATGGTGAGTATTTTTTTCCTCTTTTTCGTTTACCTTTTGTTTCTCAATGACCTTGGTGACCCAGAAGAAGGTCAAATGAATGAACTACTTGGGTCATTTATCTTCGTGGTAGTTCCAGATTTCCTTGTCCTTGGTGGTTTTCCGATCTTCCTTGTCTTTTATTTCTTGACGACTTTCCCCACCTTTGGCAAATTCCTAGTTTCAGATGTGAGGTTGATTGGAACTATCTTGATCATACTCTCAGTAGTTCCAAATTGAGATTAATTATGTCAAAATTTCACCCAGTGCACCCGTCACAATGTCCCTAAATGACAAAGGTCGATGGGTACCGATTGCCGGAAAAACCGACAAAGTTCACATCGTCAAATTAAAAGTGAAACTAAATTTCGAGGTGTCTCACGCGAAAGAGAGCATTAATTAATTAATTAATTTTTCAGGGCCAAAGCGAGAACGCGTCGACATGGAGGAACGCTTGGCACAAACTGCGCACCTTGGCGCCGTTTCTGTGGCCGAAAAAGGATCTCTGCCTTCAGCTACGCGTCATCATCTGCATCATTCTACTGGCGGCGGGCAGGGCGATTAATCTATACGTTCCCATTTATAATAAATTAATCGGTGAGCGGCCAACTGTAGAAATTTGGAAAACTAACTTGGCGATTTTCAGTTGATAGTATGACGATTACGCCTATCAGGTTTCGTTGGGATTGGATTTTAATTTATGTGGCTTTTAAGTTTTTACAGGGGGGCGGTACGGGGGGAATGGGACTTTTAAACAACTTACGCTCGTTTTTGTGGATTCGTATTCAGCAGTATACTACTAGGGAAATTGAGGTAAGTATTAATCTACAATGTAGATGGCGCTGCCAAAAATGATTAAGCAATTTTTTGCAGTGTCACTTTTTACTCACAAGATCATTAAAGGTCTATGACCCCATTTTTGTATTGTCATTTTTTAAGTCAATGTCCCTATTTTTGTGGTGTTAAATTTCAAGGTTGCCGCATTCTACTCCTAAGCTCATTAAATGTCAATGACTTATTTTAATATTTCATTTTCAAGGTTCTCAAAGTTCAATGACCCCATTTTTGTCGTATCTTAGTTCATTTTCAAGGTCAATTGTTCCATTTGTTGAGGTAGAAAACTTTGCTTTCAGGGCCACCTTAGCCAATGCCTTCATTTTTCCTTGTGTCGATTTTGATTTCAAAGGTCATCCAATGTCAATGGCCACATTTTTGTTTTACTTTCAAGGTCGTCCATTATCAATGTCCCCATTTGATCTGTAAGTAAACCACACGTGAGTTCAAGGACATTATTAGGACACAGAGCCTCTATGTACATACATGTATAATTCAGCCGGCGCCTTTCTTTTACTAAAGATAAAACATTGGTTTCTGGTCCGCTTGAAAATAAAATGTGACAAAAAATTGGAGGTAATTGATTTCTGATGACCTTGAAGACAATGCCACACAAAATTGACCTGTAATGACATTGAAAATAAAATATGACGTTACAAAACTAAATTACCTTTCAATGACCCTGGGAGTAAAGTGTGACACCGCCAATGAAGTCGTTGATCGTTGGTAACCTTGGATTAAAATATAAGATAAAATTTGGGTCATTGCTCTCTGACGACCTTGAAAACGAATGCCCTACTTTCCAAGCTCAAAGTCACATGGCATATAACCTTTGAATTTAACCTTGACCAACTGTCAAAAGTCACAACTAGGTGGCGGGTAACCTTGAACGGTCCAGGTTCGGCCTTATATGACCACTGACATGTTTATCAGGAGAGCATTTAAGCGTATTCCTACAAATTCTTTACCTTCTCGCGTTTTTTAACCTTAAGAGAGCAATATTTAAGATCATGTATCAGATTGACGTAGCACTCTTGTATTTTTTGACTGCAGATGCAGATTTTTTTAATTGTATTTCAAACAACTTGCTGAACAGTGTTGAACATTAAATTAAAGGAGAAGGCGCTGTAATCCCAATGACGTATTGGCAAATTTATCAATTAATTTATCCTTCTCCAAATTTAAACAATACATTTACAAACATTAATGCTTCAAAAATTGACTGACTTAGCGGGGACCCGCGACGGACGCTACGCTTCGCGGTTCCACGAGGGCCCCGTCCAGGGTCCCCGCTGGCGCGGAGCTCTAGCCGCTCGAGCGGCCTAGCGGCCTGGGCCAGTCCGGCCCTGGTTCCGACCGCAGTGGTCAGACCGTTTATATTTTTTTACGAGTTGATATTGGACCTAACAAATTCGATTAAAAAAAAGAGATTTATTAATTTTTTGAAACTTTCAAAAACTTAAAAAATGCTTAATTATTTTTATGTGTATTACTTATTAGACAGTATTTAAGAAAAGGTGCAATGTGTGCTAGAAAATACACAAGTCTCCACTCGAGTTTCAAATGATTAAAAAAGTACAGTGTGCACTATAGGCTCAGACGAGTTTAAAATTTTTTGGAAATAAAAAAATTTAAAATTTCTAGTATGTGTCCGACGGTATATTTTTTACAGTTGTTAAAAGTTGATGAATTCATTCACACTAAACCAATTTTGATTAAAAAATGAAATGTATTCATTTTTTGAAACTGTCAAAAACTTAATAATAATGTTTTTTTATTTTTGTTTATGTGTTTTAAGTATTTTGTGTCAGACTTTTTTTAATTTTTATGATTGATTGAATTCATTGGAATCATTCGACTAAAAATGAGGTTTATTAATTTTTTTTTAAATTGTTTATATGTACTTATTTTCAAAATTAAACAAAAATGAAAATTATTATGTATCAGTGTTTATACATATTTTTTAGAGTTAGTTAAATTTGAAAGGTATTTTGAACCAATTCAGCTCAGAAATGAGATTTTTTCGATTTTTTGAAATTTTCAAAAATTTATAAATTGCTTAATTGTTTGTGTATAAAAAAAATATTAGAAAATGGTGTAATCATTTTTAAAAACTTTACACAACTAAATGTAGATTAAAAAAAATGTCTCTTTAAGGTGGAATTGTTTAAACACCTCCACAGCTTATCATTACGTTGGCATCTAAGCAGAAAGACTGGCGAGGTGTTGAGGGTGATGGACCGCGGCACTGACAGCATAAACAACCTACTTAACTACATCATCTTTTCCATTACACCAACAATTGTTGATATTATCGTCGCCGTAATTTACTTTGTAAGCGTTTTCAATGGATGGTTCGGTTTAATCGTATTCTCCACGATGCTACTTTACATCGGTAAGTAGCACGAGTGAGTCGTTGCGTTCGCCAACCGTTTCGACTTGCAGTTGTTACAATTGCCGTAACGGAGTGGCGCACCAAGTTCCAAAGACGCATGAATCTCGCCGACAACGCCACGCGAGCGCGTAGCGTCGACTCGCTGCTCAATTTCGAGACGGTGAAGTACTACGGCGCGGAACAGTACGAGGTGGACGCTTTCCGCGACGTCGTCCTCAAGTACCAGGTTTGCAACGCGACAGGTCGAACTCGCCTCGTCATTGACTTGCGTTTCAGGAGGAAGAGTTTAAGGCCGCCATTACGTTGAACATCCTAAACACTCTACAGAATATCATAATTTGCGGCGGCCTCCTCGCCGGTAGCTTGCTTTGCGTTCACCTGGTCGTCGACGATCACAGCCTAACCGTCGGCGATTATGTGCTGTTCTCGAGCTACATCATACAGCTTTACGTTCCGCTGAACTGGTTCGGCACTTACTACCGGTTAGTACAATAGGAGTATTGAACTAATTTTCGAATGAAGTATTTCTGCGCATGCGCAGTCATTTTTTCATGTCATGTTTTGTTTAGGGCAACCGCATACGCGAAGAGGTCTTCTTAATGTCTTGCTTCAATCCTCTTTCAGCTAGCGAATCAGGAGAGCAGTTTCCTAGATGATAAGGAGAATATAATAGACTTTTTTCTTTCTAATGTATTAGGACGTCTTTTGACTAAGGTGGTAAAACTAACCTTTTCTCACAATTTCTTTCAAAGAGTGACTCCAAAAAAAACAGCACACATTTTAAACCAGGAAATACGACTTCGTGATTCAGCAACTCATCCACCCCTTCCCCGACGCACTGTGACAGATCCAGCCAATCCATGGAGGCCGCCGAACGAACACCGGAAAATAGCGGAAATACGTCCGTCGTTTCTTAAATTAGTGTATTATCCCTTCGTGTGCTAATTCCGAGAGTCCTTTTCAGGGCGATCCAAAAGAATTTCGTCGACATGGAGAACATGTTCGACCTGCTTCGCGAGGAGCAGGAGGTGATCGACGCGCCCGGCGCCCTCCCCATAGCCATGAAGCGCGGCGGCGTCGAATTTCGCAACGTCAGCTTCGGGTATCTTCCCGAGCGTGTAATTTTGAAAAACATAACCTTTTCCGTGCCGCCTGGGAAAACCGTGGCGCTGGTGGGTATACTCGCGACTTTGGGATTGTTTTAATTTTGTTCGGCTTTAAGGTGGGGCCTTCGGGAAGCGGGAAAAGTACGATAATAAGACTTTTATTTAGATTTTACGACGTGGACACCGGATCGATTATAGTCGACGATCAGAATGTTAAAACTGTAACGCAGGAGTCGCTCCGAAGGGCCATCGGTGTTGTACCTCAAGATACTGTTCTGTTTAATAACACTATTAAGTACGCCCCCACCCCACCCCCCGATGGCTGAAAACGATGTGTTCCAGGTATAATATAAGCTATGGGCGAATCGGCGCCTCCGACACGGAGGTTGTGCAGGCGGCACGTGGTGCAGATATTCATGACAGAATCCAAACCTTCCCATCCGGCTATGACACCGAGGTGGGCGAGCGAGGGCTACGACTGAGCGGGGGCGAAAAGCAGAGGGTGGCCATCGCGCGGACCCTCCTTAAGGCGCCCATCATTGTCCTCTTAGACGAGGCGACGAGCGCTTTAGATACACAGACTGAACGTAACATACAGGTACGACGAAGGACTGTCACGAACATATATTAACCGCGCACATTTAGGGAGCCTTAAGCGAGGTGTGTACGAATCGCACCACCATCATAGTGGCACATCGTCTGTCCACCATAATCCACGCCGACGAAATTCTCGTGTTAAAAGAAGGCGAAATTGTGGAGAGGGGAACGTACGTATACCTCCCACTGTGCATTTCTCTTTCAACTTTTTTTAGGCACTTGAATTTGGTGGGACAAGAAGGCGTCTACGCCGCCATGTGGAAGCAGCAGTTACAAAGTAGAGATAATAGTTCTGTAGAAAACAGTCTGGAACAGAGCGTCGATAGTAAAAATCCCATAGTATAATTGTGTCAAATGTGATAGGCAACAAAGTAATGTAGGTAATTATAATTAAAACAGCTTAACAGTCTATAATTGTTTGTTAAGGCGAGGAAAAAGCTGTGTGTTATTAATCTTTCTTTCTACCCTTCTTCTGTTTACATCTTTTTTTTTGTTTATATCGTAATAAAGATATATTTCTATTGTTATATTGACTCTTGGAAGACACTTCTTGCAACCATAGCATACTCCGAACGAGGGGCCAGATACCCGCCCGAGGAGCCGAGCACCAAGTTTTCAATTTCAAGTTTGTGATACGAGTAGCAACTGAATGTGAAGATTTAAGTCAAATGTCAATGCACCCGAAGAGTTTGAGGAACCTAGAATTTGCAGAACATTGACAGAATTTCAAAATCGAAACAATGGAAAAATGGTAATCTATGTCCGGAGAACATGCATTTATACAACGATTTTTAAGAAGGGCATCAGGAACGCCGAACATTTTAGGCGTTATGTACGAGTATCCATCAGTATACTTCTCTTTTTGCACTTCGTGCCTTATGAATTTTTTTTCTTAAGTTTGATGTGTGTATGAACTTGTTTGTAAACTAACACTTTTCGCCATGAAGAGACAGTCACGGGGGTGGTAAATAAGGGTAACCACATTTGTTACGACACCTAATCCCGGGACTGTTCTCAAATCTCAACTGTAGGCTCGGATACCCCGGACAAGCGAAGAGTTACCTATCATGAGGGCGAGATCCGGCTAACAGAAACTCTTCGGTTTAGAATCTATCTGAGTTGCGATTAATTGATTTCCACATATTTTGTTGTTAACATGAATTCGCCCTATATAACAATTACATTATTTCTATTCGAGATTATTGTGATCAAAATGGCATGTAATTTTGAAAGATCAACGCCACGCCACTGGAATAGTTCAAATAACCTTAAAAGAAAACAGCAAAGTTTGCGATCAGCTGACTGTCACTGAATTTGAATGGTTTTTAGGTTAGAAATAAAAATGAATATAACCGAAGAATTAAAAAATCGCGTAAAATTTATCGGAACTTCCCCCATAAAAGACGATCTCTTCAAACAGCTACTCGAACACAACTTCTCCACATTAACCGGAAAACCAGAGAGTAAGACCTCCTTTTCGGATGCTGTGCAGCGATTGCCTTCTTGTTCTAGATCTGAGCGTCCTTTACAACTCGAAACCCGATCTAATCAAAGAGGCTCACGCGATTTTGATGACGATCAGCGCAGAATTCGGTCGTCACGATCTGACCAAAGAGGAGGTGAGGTCGTTTTTGATCGATTGTAACTTTAGCACCGGCCGAGCGGCGGTATTCTCCGAACTGTACGATCGCAACAAGAGAGATTTGCAGGTCGCCTTGGGTAAAATTGGCAGTCATCCGCCGCACATTGTCGATGCCGAGTGGAAAATCGATTACATAGTCAAGGTACGAGGTGGAGTTGTTGTTAAGTGCCTGCCACGCGATACTTGCTTTTTAGGCGAGTAATTTGGATCATTCCGAGGGACCCATCTTTCGGATAGCTCTGGTAACGAGTAAGTTTGATGAAGATTCGGGAAGTAAAGGGATTGAGCGAGTGTACTTCACTTGTAATGGCCAGGAGTTGCAGGATCTCGTTTACAAATTGAAAGATGCAGTTCGTCACTGTCAACGTTTGACTTCAGAATGATTGTTTGATATTAGAGTATTTTATGTTTCCATTAAAAGCCAGAAATAACTGTAGTCTGGTCAATCTATCCCGTTTCCCCATATCAAATTAAATTTGATGAGAGAGAGATAGTTTACTGCTGATGATTAATATATAAAAAATTCCGAAAATGACCGCTAATGTTAATGTATTAAACAAGTAAACAGGTTTTCGCCCTAAGGCGAGTAAGTAGCGCATTTTGCATGCATTTATAAGTACTTTTCCAAAGGCTATGGAGTATGGCTATGAAATATGTTCATAAGTTATAAATAAGGAAGTTGATACGTTACCTGAATTATACCTTTAAATCAATGAATATTGTCATTGCCTTTAACAGAAGCATCTGTGATTATGCGACGAACTTCGCACAAATGGCATGAAAACGAAATAAATTTACAAGTTACTATAACAAACACATCCTGTGAGCGACCGAAAGTAGCGGCAATAACCGGTAACACTCGGCGAGATGGAGGGGCAGACTCGAGCGCCACTAAGCGCGTACGGTCTCGCCCCTGGTCATGGTGCGGTAGCAACGGTTTGGCGGATCGGGCTCGGAAGTTGTTGTAAAGTGTTCCGAAGTCAAGTTCACAGGTAAAATTTAAAAACGCAGGAGAAAGTCCGGTATAATCTTGTTTTTTTTTCCTGTAAAAACTGTTTAATTTATGAATTTAACAAAAGGTTACAACATTAACATATTGCAAATAAAATTGTTTAAAAACAAAAAAAAATACCCTATACTTACAATATAAAAAATTTCATTAAATGCTGTCTCTGGCGGTAGAGTGCCTAAAATACAAGCCGCAGTTCCCTGCAAAACTGAATCTTTGTTTTAAAAATTCAAAACGTTTTTCTTGAGTTTTTTTAAAAGTTTAGTTGGCACGTTCTACGGGATTGGCTTGTGGAGTATAGGGTGGTGTGAAACAGTGGATAGTCGACTGTCTTTGGTCAGCGGTATCTGCCAATACCTTTGTTTAAGGTCAATGCTTGAAATGTAGCGGACTGGACGGAGGCGGTCCACAATCTCCATTATGAACGGTAACGGATAGGCATCTTTAATAGTGACTACGTTCACTTTCCGGAAATGGATACATAAACGCATTTTGCCATCTTTCTTTCGGCCCATGAAGTACTTGAGCTAATTCAGTACATTACTATGAGAGAATTCCAAATGTGTGTTCACTTTAAGGACCAATCTTGAATATTCTGGTCGTTTTGGATTCTACATGTAAGAAGTTCTGTTAAATCTGACAACGATGCATGCGGCCATTTTGGAAAATGCTTCCGCTTGACCAATGTGTTTTTAAAACTTTTATTAATACTGTTTTCATAATATACAGTGCACAAATTTTAAATCTGTATAAAAATTAAACATTTATTACAATGAATAACAAAGACGTTACACAAGTAAAATCGAAAAAAAAAAAAAAATTTACCCACGGTCGGTCGGTCGTAGAACAAAAAGTTTAACGCATATTGCGAACCGGTATCATCACTGAGAACCTAAGCTACATAATTTAATATTGTAAATAATACGCTAGTATCAAAGCTTCACAAAAAAGTAATATAAAAAATATACAAATAATACACATATC